TATGAAATCATGCTAGCAGTAGCATTCATCAAACTCATGCTTTGGCAGGGAGTGGATTCTGCATCAGTGCTGACTTAACAGAGTCAAACTACCTGGACATTAATCATCAAACACTGGAGGATAAAGGAACATCACAAAAATATAAGTCACAACTGGAAACTTTGCCAAAAATGATTTTGATCAAGTAGATAAGCGATTTAGACAAAATCAGAACAGTAAAGCAGCATTCATTGATTTTTTTTTTTTTTCGCAACTTAGGTGCAGTTGATAAAGCTGTAAACATGACACTGACATATTGTCACCAAGTGGATTTACACATCCAGCAGACGTAAAGGAAACATCAGCCTTCATTCGCATTCCTGTTCCTGGCCAATATTCACTCTACTTTGAGATCTGTTTTGGTATCCACTAACACCTGAGAGCAATATTTGGCTCTTAAGCTGCTGAAATGTTCCATGATATCCACTAGCTAGACACTAACTTTGTAGTTTGATATTGAAAAGGTAGTATCCAGCGGGTTTATCAAAGGTTTTCTTGAATGAAAACTGCTGTCGGCTATGCTGGAAAGTGGGGTGATGAAAGTGGTGAGAGTGAACTGTGGGCATAGAAATCTGAACGAGGAGATGAAAAGATGCTCAACCATTCTGCAGAGTGTGGCTGCAAAGTTGGGTAAAAGTAACCCCTTTCACATTGCACATAGTGCTTTGATCAGTTGTTAATATAAAAGCTTTAAAATGAGAATCTATCTTTTATTTAAAAGCACTTGCATGTGCTATACATGCTTGTTTGGAGGGCATATACTTCAACAACATGGCCATCTATCAGTATCCATGGTGATGGATGTTTCCAACTTATGGTCGAGAGCGGCGAGTGAGTCCCACAGTACACCTGTATATTTACACTCACACACATTAATGTGGAGTGGCCTCCACAACTGTGAGTGCCACTCCATACGGACATACTGAATCTCTGCAGTGAAGTGCTATGGAGGATTGATCAGTTTGGAAAAGAGCGAAAACATGGGAGGTAATTTTTCATGAGGAGATGACAAGCAAAATTTATTTAGGATTTAGTTACATCAAACAGTGAAGCTGCAAATTGCAACCAACTAAATACAGCTCGCCTCACCCTCCCTTTGAAGTGTGTATAAGAAACTGCAGTGGAGCCAGTGTTTGATTTGTCTGTTCTGGGCTACTGCAGACGGCGGTTCAACATGGTGGCCTCTGTAGATAAGAACATCTTATTCTAAAGGTAATTAAAAACCAATAAAACACTAATCAAAACATACTTATGAAAATTATATAAAATTTCTGCCAATAAATCCCCCTAAATCTTATGCACTGGACATTAAGGGGGAAAATGTCTTTCAGTAACAAACCAAACAATTTAAAGGCTTTTAGCTGATTCCCTTGAGCTGAATAAACATATTGTCTGTCCATCCGTTACTAAAATACCATTTGGATCATACATTTTATAACAGCTACAGGTGAATTTCTCTGACAATGTCATGGTGTAGGACTGCATACTGTAACAAAGCATGGTCCGTCAAGGTTGACAGTTTCTCTGTCCAACATAACTTCCTATATATACACTTCTAATGCATGGTGATGCCTCAGCAACAAACCTTTATCTCTGTCACTATTCATTTGACATCATCATTGATGAAGTGCATGGTATTGGTAATGTTTTACTCTATAAAGCTTTGACTGCAGGTGATAATTATTACACCCCTCCCATAAAATAACATAACACAAGCACAGCCATAAACAAAACAACCATCGTACTTACATTTGGCGAAAGTCAAGGTGATATTGTTCTCCCCCAACCACCTTCCTTCCACAATCCAGATGTGTTTAAAGTTTCTTTTCACATTAATTCATCGATGCAGGCCAGCAGGGGAGGGACAGGAGAGTGGTTGCTACTCACCCTGGTCCATCTCTTGATTGAATTTCCATTGTGGTGCAATTGTATCACCAGGTACTCTGACAACAGGAGGGCGAGGACACAGGTCACCACACTCGACAGGGTTCCACTTTCTTTGCAGGCGGAGGGGCCTCTATCAGCGAATCTGTAAAGGCAAAGAATTGACAGGTTGAGCACAAAAGCTTTCTTGAGCTCCCTAAAGAGAGTCATTCTGGTCTATGTATGGCAGAGGCCGTTTAGACACATGTAAACACCCTAACAAACATGTGTTCACACATCACAGCATAGACAATATAGAGATAATATAGAAATAACTTACCTGAACTGTTTTTCTTAAAATAGACAAAAATGTTTTTTGTGGGGGCTGGGAAGGAAGATATTCATAGATCTGTCCACTGTGAAGTGTTAAATGAAGGACACCGGATATCCAGTGTTAACCTGAGAGGAATGCATAATTCAGAAAGGCCAGAAAAAGAAGTATCATGTATTGCCTGGTCCTTCATGCATTCACAGCCATCAGGTTACACTGGTAGGAGCCACTTTCTTTCACAGTAAACCTGGACTTTTCAATAACAAAACAAGAGGGAAGCAGCAAAGGACACCAGTTTTCCTGAAATTGACCTCATGTGAAATGTATAAACATATTTTTCATGATTATTATTTTCTTGTTTCATGTGCTATGTGCTAACAGGCTACATGGGAACACCAAATTCTCATTAGAACTATTGAGGACACCAAAAAAATTCCATTGAAATTAAATACCATTTGGGAGAATAAAAGCATTAAAATACATCTGGATCTTGAAATTAAGCCACTTAACTTCACAACAGTTGGTGCACTGACAAATCTCAGAGTCCAATTTACAGACAGTGTTTACTTATTTTTTGTCCTGTAATGCAATAAAGGCTAATACTTCAGGAATAATTGTGCAGTTTTAGAGTAGCTCTGTAATAGCTTTTTAAGTATGTGGTCCCTCTGAGCTCGGTGCCTAGGCCCTCTTAAATTATTTATGATAATTAAAACAATTTTTTTTAATTTGACATGAGAAGTTCGCAGACACTACACAAGAAGAAAGAAAGAAGAATCTGGCAATCACATGCATCAATTCAAAATTCAGTATGGCAGTGCTCCCAAACTAATTGAATCGTGTGTGTATTAACTAGACTTTTAGCTTAAGGCATAAGCCAGTATTTGATTAGTGTAAAACCAGGAGTTTGTGCTGATGCAATATGTGCAAATACCTCAGTGATTCATGTTGTATTGGTTGAATCCTGTATCGCTGTTTTCTATTTAAATACTGTATGCTTTGTGTTTTTCATTCATTTTTGAATAATCCCAATAAATTCCAAAGGTTGAACACACTTCCATAAATTGTACTTTACCACAATATAAGTTCTGCCTATTTACCCTTTAGAAATCTTTTTTTAATGCTCCTTAGTGTTTTTTTAACCTCACATTGCTAAACACTTAATATGCTCCTTGAAATTAGTGATATAAACAGTGTGTCTCTGTTTCAACATAATGTGATCACCAGTGCAGCTGTAGGTTTACATGGCTGACACAGTAGCACTATCTCTGTTTACACTGTGTACTCATTGTGTATTACCATGCAAAGAACTGTGGTTTAGTCCAACCGAAATTGTTTGAGGTATCAGAATGAGCTCCTTAGCATCACCTACTGCTCTTTGTGGGAAGTACAGGCACCCTTACTGATGCCTGTTTAACCACATCAAGTATGCAATACAAAGGCACTATATTGCACCTGTAAATCTAAGACTAGCAGCAGATCACTGTGTTTGCACTGGGCAGTTTCATGTATGAACAGATGTGTTAACAGGCCTTTTTATTTATCACAGTAGGGAAATCACAAGAGTACCTTTTAAAATGATGGCTCAATTTAGCTGCTTCAGTTTCAGGGTCCTGGTGTAGACCTTTTTCACAGCAGCCATTTTGACTTAAAATAGTAGGGTAAACAAAGGTCATGGCTTACTGGATCATTTAATTAGAGTATTTACAGAGTTAATGTTGTTAGTAACATCTTTGCTTTTCACCAACATGTCTGCTGCGAAAAGATCCTATGAAGCAATATATGTGCTGCTACACAAGGGTTCGAAAACTCAAACAGGAACTATGATTCAAATATTTTCCAAATTCAACATTCGTCTTCCCCTTTATGTCCAGTAATTAACAAGCACTAGAACTAAAATAAATCACATTGAACATGAGAGCATAATTCCCTCTCCACTTAATCTCAGCAGACTCAGAACCAGCCACCCACACTTTTGGCTGTGTTTGGACATGAACATGACAAGAGATTTTTGAATCAGTCAGGGGCCCTGCAGAACATCTGTAGTTCAACACTCTGGCCACAAGATGGCGGTGCGCTCACCTGATTTATTTTACCCTCGACCCAGAGAAGTCATGTTGAGGATTTGATGTCGGGTATTTCCATTAAAAGGGACATAAAAAACAAACACAGCGTCCCTGCTTTTACCTAGCAGAGACCCTTTACATTTGGCTGATCTAACTTAAATAACCCAGCAGGGACTAATTAAATCTGATATAGTGGGGCTATGGGTTTGCCAAGGCAGCTGTTTCTTTTTATAAGCCTCTCAACTTCATCACTTTAATTACTATTAAAGAGACCACAGCGATATTTTAGGAAGGATGTGACACAAATGTTGCAGCCAGTACAAAGTTTATAAAATAAATAATAGTCCTGGTTTCAGTCTGGAATCAAACAGCCTGTGACTCACTTTTTAGACCCACATGAGTCAGAATCTTCAAAAACAAACACAATTAGATGATTTTTAATGACTTGCTGCCTATAAATCCCCATAAATGTGTTTAAAAGTCATGATTAAGCCCACCTTATTTGGCAGCAGTCGGCGCACATGATTCCACAGTGGGATTTGAAGCCTACAGTGGGCAGGCAGCAGTGCTCTGCGGCTGATTCCTGGTTTATAAATCCACGATTGGACAGAGTAAGTCACGTTGTCCGTGGAGCTGTCAGTCTGATGCTGCACCATTGTTCCCCGAGCAGCCGGAAGGAGAGCTGGGTTTAAAGCACTGTTTATGTAGGTTTATGTATGCGACAAATTGTGCCGGTTAGTCCTGTGCTATTCGGAAATCCGGTACCGGTTTTTAAAGCGGAGGAGGATTTCTGCACACGGAAGCCGTGACATGGTTTAGGCAGAAAATTGTGAAGTCCATTGAGAGAGGGGCGTCATTGACTGGCTGGAGGATAGTAACGAAATGAATGGTGAGTAGGACCAATATTAATGTGATGGGCCTGCATTTAAACACTGCACATTGATTAGATGGGGATTTACAGATCTATTATCTTTATCTCTCATGTCTTTTCCTCTGTTGCATAAATTAAGTGGACATTTTATGTGTTTATTGTGTGTTGGGACCCATCCCTGAGTAAGTCCATTTGTCAAACTCTTTCCGGGCATCACACCTCACTAGTTAGGACATCTGCTGTAACTGGATGCTCATTCAAATTTGAGAATCATATTAATAGCCTACTTGTAGACCACGTTTTCTTTGTTCCTCCTTAACCATTGACCATTTAATTGCTCAAACACTTGGTGCACAAAAGGGTTCACCACTGTGTGTGTGTGTGTGTGTGTCTGAAATAGACACAGAGCCTGAGGGATGTCAGAGCTCTTGTTTGCATTGTGTATTATTTTTGAGGTCGCACATGATGTGTGTCATACAGGGCTGCTTTAGGTTGGAGCCAGCTGACTGGTATATTGCCAACTGGCTGAGAGGCTCCCATACAGACTGCAGGGAGAAGAGAGTCTAGTTCCCTGCAGAGTCTCCTGTAGAACAGGCAGAGGAGGCAGAGAGTCTGTTCCCCTCCTGCCTCCCCGGGGACCCCCCCCCCCCCCCCCCCCATCCACACCACCCCAGCTATAAAAGGAAAGAGTGTCTCACAAAGAGATTTAGATGAAGCTCTGTCAATCATCTGTACATCAGTGCTCAAATTGCAAAGTTTCCCTGAAAAACCTGTGATACTAACATATGAATTACAATATAACGGCTTGTTTCTGGCACCTCGTATAAGCCGGTACAGCAAACCAGAAAAAAACATAATTTAAAGTCACCTTTTGCATGACGTCTTGTAACTCTGCTGATATGCAGACATGTGCTGTTACATTATGTGATTATCATTTATGTTTCTCTTCTGTTTTCTCCACAGAACAGAGGCAGGTCGCTGCAGTGTAATATATTTTGCTAGAGGTAAGACCACGTCTCCTTCTCGGTGTCTAAAATATCATGCCGCCAGTCTTCACAACACATTAACATATTGAATTCATGCCTGCGAGATAGATGGTTCAAAGCTCGCACAACTGTTGCTACGCTGCCACAAAGAGACCCTCTGATAACAAGATATGATGTGATGTTGATGCAGACAACAGTGTTTAGTCAATACAGACAGCTGCACTATTCTCACTGGATTATACTCGAGAGATGCCTCTGATATCAAAATGATGAGAAGAGGACATATTCTTTCTAGGGTATGTTGTCTTACTTGATATTTCTTTTATTTCTTTCTATAAACCAGCCATCAGAGCTACAAAAATGGGGAAATCACAGGCCTTGATATATTTCCAAGGCAGTAAAGATTGATAGATTAGGTTTTTTATGGTTGCCCGTCAAGTTGTATAGTTAGTAACATGAATATAATCAGATGCAGTAATATCTTTATGTGTGAACTGTCTGTTTTTAAATTTTAGATTTAATATGGCAGTCTCATTATCCTTCCCTGCATTCTCACTGTTCCTCCGCCAGCCTCTTTTGTCAGAAAGAAAAGGCAACAGTCCATCATGGAGCGAAAGCATGCACTCCAACATGCGACCATACACACACAATCACACAACCATTTCCATCTTTGTGATTGAGATCTGAAAGGTGACGGGGAGCGATGTGTGTGTGTGTGTGTGTGTTTGGGGAGTGGGGGCCTCTCTCCTTGTGTGACTGTGTATTTTTCCTCTTCAATCCATCTGTCTCCTCAATCTATCAGCACTCAGTCCTCAGAGGAGCAGAATTTAATTAGTACATGTGGCACTGAGTTAAAGGACACTGAAACATTAAGTAGATGTATTTACTTGTGAAAATCTGCATCATTAAGTTGGCTTATTTGAATAAGTGATTCAGCCATGCTGCTATTACATACTGTAGCACAGATGGCTAAGGCTAGATAACAGTGAAATTGTGGTCCATTAAAGATTCACAGGAAAGGTGTTATAGCTTAACAACACTAAGGAGAGACTCTCTGCAGGAGGCTGGTGTGGATGAATTGTCTGCACACAAAAGTTCACATGCACAGCTAAATCAATTTTGTTTCCTTTTATGTGGGAACAACAAGAATCCACGGCTTTAAGCTTGACCCGGAGGTTCAGGCAGATTTACTGAGTCGGGTTAAAGGTCAGATTGTAAATTGATGTAGGAGAAGACTAGCTGGCTTGTGCTTTACATTAAACAAGAAATAAAACAAATCTGCTGGAGTTGTTAATGTTGTTGTTTTATAACAAATCCAATGGATTGTTTTACACCTGGGCTTGACATTGTGCTACCTGGATAAGATAAGTGAGACATTATGGAATGATGAAAAGATATATAATTGTCTTTTTGCAGCTTTAGGTATCTAAGTATCAGAGAAAAGAAACAGAATATTTCTGTGCGCTGTATGGAGAGAAATCCCTCCCTCATTCCCTCCCCAACAGGCTACAACAATACATTTAAAATGTCAAATAACAGGCCATAGGAATTACAATATAAAAAGAAGAAAATTACTCACACACAGAGGAATGTTGATAGCTCATTCATAATTCTTATATTCCTGCGCACAAAGGGCACTATTAGTCACTCCTATTTTTACCCCAGTGACCATGGAAACATAGGTTATAAAAGGTGACCATATTTTCTTAAAATTGAGATTTTCAGCTTATGATACATTTTATTTTCTCTAGTTTTGGAAAAAACCCCCCGTCATATTTCAATGTTTTTTGGGGAGATATTTTCCTTTTAAAGACAACAAATAAAACACTGGTTATTTGTAGACCAGGCGGCATTCTCTGATTTTATATGAACTGTTGTTTTGATCAGTTGAAATGTGTGCGAGATACACAATTCATGTACAAAGCAACCGCTGGCACTCCCTGCACCCCGACATTCGACATGTGTTTTTGATTAATTGTCACAGTACATGTTTTATTTGTCGTTTATCTTCCAAAATGCTGAATTAAAGCATCAATGAAGTATACAGTAGGTTTGTCGTGTGAACTAATATCAACCTTTTAGATTACAGAGCAGCTTTGTGTGTCCCAGCAGGGTTCATGGTTCCAATTTAGAGGCTTTTGATGTGACTCTTTTTGTGTCTTTGGCTCCTTCCTGGCTGAGCTCTGGGCTTTCACGGTTCAGGATTGTGCTCTCTTGAGATGTTGCCATGACACCTATTTGGAATCTTTTGTCTGTTGCCAGTTAATTAAGTGTTAAGGGAAAAAAAGACATATTTTTCTGCCTTAATTAGTTTTATTTTTCTGTGCACAGTATGCCACTACTTAAACGCTTCATACTTTAAAAATAGCCATCTGAAGTCTGTAGTTATTGGTTTTATTATCAAATATTGTATAATCAGTAGAGATTATATATTTGCAATAATGAACAGGTAGTTACTGGCTAAGCTATGGAAAGCTCTAGTGAAGTAAAACTAAGAATATTTTTGGTAAGAAATGTAATTTTTTAAGATTGTTAAACTAGCGTCTCATGTTTTGTCTGCCAGGTGTAAAGGATCATGCGTTTGGTTGTGTGTGTGTGTGTGTGTGTGTGTGTTTCCGTGTGTGTATCTGTCTGTAGCTAATTTCACATACTACCAGACCCATCAGTCTAATTGTGCACATTTATGACTGTATGCTCAAGGATCTCACACGGTGCGGTGATTCAAAATTTCTGTTTTATACCTCCATTTACTGCTGAGTCCTCTGGCTCCACTTAACCAGCCAGTAGGGGCCACAAGTGATCAACAACTATTACAATTTGAATGTTGTTTCCGTTAGGGACAATGTACGTTGAAGTCATATTCGTGTTTGCAGATTCTTTTGTTGGCTTTTTCTCTCAATTTTACATCACTGGAGTTTTGGAATTGTCCAAGATTTGTCTCCATATAGTCTGAATACTCTGGTTACACCTTGATAATGTAACCTTGGTAATGTAATCTGGATGCTGTCTCCCCTTTATTCCACTACTCTCATCCATACATGCTGGATACACAGCCTGCCCTCCACTCCAGTCCACTCCCTGATCCCCACGCACATGCCCCCAGACACACCTGGCAGAGATCTGCACTCTTTTAGTTAGTTAGTAGTTTAAGATATTGAAAACTTATTTTCTCAATCAGCTTCTTACTATAAGTGATAAGGTCCTTCATGAACACACAGTTTTCTGCTAAAGTAAGAATGGTTTTGGTTGTTGCACTTGAGAAATTTCTGTATTTCTAGTTTTCTCTCAGTTTTTCTCACTGGTTTGAAGTGGACTGGGTTTAGGAGCTTTTGTAGTTCTAGTCTTGTATAGCCCAAAAAGAGGTAATGCTAATTTCTTTAAAAACAGTTATGCCAACTGTGTGTCTTGGCACAGTTTGGCATGGCTCATGCTCTGATGGAGGTCTTTGTGACAAAAAGCTTGGATAATAAATCTTGCACAGTGGAGCGTGCAGATGTTTTGATCTTTAGTCATTTCAGTAGAGTTTAAACAAATCTTTGATTATTTCATCTCGCATAGGCTCATCTAATCAACAAAAGGGAACATAGAAAAAAGCTCTGATAGTTTCTCTGAAAGAGAAAATAACTATTACTGTTAAATTCAACACCATCGCAGTTATTAAAATATATATATAAAATATATTCTCAGCATCATTACAGAATTTTTACATTAGAAGCAAAAACTGAAAAACAAATATTTTCTTCTTTTTAAATAATGGTTATAGTTGATTTGAAGTATTGTTACAAAAGGTACAAAAATGAGTCGCATTTTACTTTATTTCCCACACTTGAAATCTGTATGTTACAACTTTACAATCTTAATTTGTCCTCGTCTCACCATCAGAAGAGATAAAGAATCATGGAAAACGCCTTAAATCCTTGAACAACACAACGAATAACACCCCACTCAGGTGTGTATCCTGGTTAACAATTCACGCTGATTCTTCTCAGGAAGCACTTTGTGTCACTTTGTTTTTTTATATCACTCTAATTCACCATATACTTTAATCACATGCAGCGCTGGCCTACTTCCCGAATTTTCTCAGATAACAGTGCGAATGTTTTGCATATAAAAAATGATTCAAGATCTCAACATGATACTGGCTATATATAAATGATAAGGCTTGTCTGCAGAATATGAACCCCACATCCCACAGCTTTCCCAGCCTGTGCGAGAGATGAAAGCAGCCCTGTCTCTATGAAATGCTTTGGCAGCTCTGCTTCTGCCAGCAAACCGGCTTTTGCGAACTTTCAGGTGGCATGGGAAAATATAGTCATAAATAAAATATAGAGCCATGAATAATTTAGGTGAGCATTGTGATTGACATGAGGGTGAGAGTACCTGATTATGCCTCCGCACTGTGTGATTCGAATTACAGCAAATCAAAACATTAGTCTGAATGTGGAGCTTGCTCGTTCGAACTTGTCTGCTACGGAGTATTTTGATCACTGTGTGTAACAACAAAGATGGTTGAGATGCTGGATGAAATGTCTTCTCAAAGATCACACTTCAATTTAAGTGTGTACCTCTATTTGATTAGAACACTTACTGATGCTGTTTGGTGTGAAAGAATTAAAAACACACACACACACAAACCAGTATGTCAGGAGTCAATGAGTTCACAAGCTCTCAATAAGAAATATTCTCATTCAAGCCATTTACCACAATACAGTAGTGGACTGGCCACTCTTAATACTGGCTGTTAAAATCAAATGGGTGCAAGCTAGATGTGTAGTATTGGAGTGGCGGCCACCCTTTGCTCTGGACCAATGTGGTTATTAAGGAGCCATGCTTCCTCTATTGTTCTGTGAGGAGGAAGAACAGATCAATGATTCCCAGCACTCGGCTGTACTGTAGCTGCAGGAGGGAGGCTGCAGCAGGCATCACCAGGCTGCAGCCCCTCCGTGTGCAGAGTGCTGAACAGTGGGCTGCACTCCCTCCCTCCCCCCTCCTCTCTCTCTCTCTCACTCCTGCCCCCC